CCTAAGCAGATCCAAAGACGATACAGTTCAACCCTCTCCTACAAGGAACCACTTCTCAAAACTCGTGAAGGGTTTGCCACACAGCTGAGAGGCAATAATTAAAGCTGTTCAAAGCAGCCTCTGGTCCCAGTGCCCTCCACGGGAGGTCGCTGGGTGGTCTGTAGTGGATGACTCTCTCTCAGGGCGTTTTTTAGGGAAGCTGGTAAAAACTGCAGACTTTGCTGACTAGAGTGTGGTTTTGGCGCCTAAATCCTGCACCGGGTGAGGAGTCAGGCCATGCTTCTCAAAGGCATGTGGTTCTGATGCTGTCTTCAGACGTCTCCACAGCACCTGCAGAAACATGCAAGCTGGCAAATGGTGCCTGGCCAAGCTGGCAACAGTATAGGTCAAGAAGACCGAACCCTGGGGAAAGAAAGGTGTGATGACAGAGTTCACTCATTTTAAGTTCGGAAAATTAGGCAATGAGGAACAGAGACATCAAGAATGAAGTTCAGCAGCTACTAAGCGTGTTCTATTGAAAGTGTCTCCCTGAACAGTATCGACCACTGCCAAGGCTAACATTCCAGCACAAAATAGCCACCTTGGAAGGATGATACCCAGGCCAGCAGGTTCCAACCTAGAAGCCACTGGTCAGAAGATCAGAATCCTCTGCCCAAAAGCATCTGTTTCAAAGCATTGTTTAGAAAAACTAAAATAAAGTGCAGTTATGAAAACAAACAAAAATCTTACTGTTTATACTTTACTAATCTCCGTCAGATGGATGGTGTGGGAGGTCCTTCTGTGTATGTGTTGCTTTTATTGGTTAATGAATAAAGAAGCTGCTATGGCTTGTGGGAAAACTAAACTGAATGCTGGGAGAAAGAGGGCAGAGTCAAGAGAAGCCACACAGCACCAGAGATAGATGCACTGGAAACTTGCCAGTAAGCCACAGCCACGTGGTGATACAGAAATTAATAAAAATGGGTTAATTTAAGATACGAGTTAGCCAGAAATACACTTAAGCTAAGGCCAAACAGTATTGTAATTAATACAGATTTCTGTGTGATTATTTTGGGAGTCTGGGCAGCCAGGAAATGAACAAAAAGCCTCCCCTCAACAGGTGGACATCTCTTAAATTATTCCCTGTCAGTTGGTCAGTGGGGGAGCACACCTTTAATCTCAGCACCAGAAGACAGAGACAGGCAGATCTTTGTGAGTTCAAGCCTAGCTTGAACAAAAGCAGATGCCAGGACAGCCAGCCAGGACTATTACACAGAGAAACCCTGCCTTGAAAAATCACACACACACACACACACACACACACACACACACGCCACTGTCCTTTGAATTTTAAATATGATTCATTATTTATTATCTATTGGCATGCATTTTACCGTAAGACAAGTGTCCTTAACTTTCCCTACTGTGTATTTCAGAATGACTCGCCTAAGGAAAGCAACAACCCCTCTAAAATTGCAGTTTTTGAAGTCTTCACTAATTCTGCTCCTACTATAAGACGGCCTGATGCTTACAGTTCTCTCGGCCAAGCTACCAAGCTATTAGTACTACGCTTTTAGCGAAGACACACCACCAAGTGTAATAAATCCTCTCTGCTTCTACTTCTGCTTGGGAAGCCTCTTGCTTTCTGCTTAGATTTCTTCTCCTAAGAAGAAGGTCTGTGTGGGTCTTCTGGAAGCTCAGCAAAAGCGCTGTCATATGGCACTCTCGAGGGCCCGCCGCCTCCCGTCTGTCAGCTGCGAGAAGTCATAGTCTCGTGCATGAACATGCCCGTAAAGGCCTCATTGCTTCGTGCACAGTTTGGCTGAATCTTTCCCCCAGTGTCTGTCTTTCCAGAATGTGTCTCGTTTCTGGAGAGCCCCCATGGAGATTCATCAGATAGCTGAACTTTCAGGTACAAAAGGAGTGAGGGTGATTTTACCTTCCAAACTTTATCATTGCCTCAAAGAAGATTGGATTTATTCTGTTTGTTTGTTTGTTTGAGACAGGGTTTCTTTGTGTAAAAGCCCTAGCTGTCCTGGAACTAGCTCTGTAGACCAGGCTAGCCTCTTACTCACAGAGATCCACCTGCCTCTGCCTCCCGAGTGCTGGGATTAAAGGCGTGAGCTACCATCGCCCAGTTAGACTTATTCTTAAACTCAAAGTGCATTTGCAGTGAAAAATGAATTTATATTTAAAAGTTTGACTGAAGTCAAATACAGGACAAGAAACTGCCTCTCTATTATTCTTCAGGTTTGGGGAAGGAAATGTTTAAACAGCACTCTTGTCTAGTAAGAACATTTCTGAAAGGGAAGTTCTGCGCAGCAGAAAAAGCAGAGGGCCAGCATGCATGGCACTGAGCAGGAAAGAGGGGGCTTCAGGGCTGTGGCTTCCTTCAAGCATAGCTTCTGGCTACTGTGACTTACGCGGGGTGTCCTGAAGGCACTTTCTGGTCCTTTTAACCCCGTCTAACAGACAGAAAGCAGAGACCCAACAGCCCAGCAGTTAACATTCCTTAGGGAAATCTACCATCTGTGAACCAGTCTGGGCTAGTTCACCAATACAGGAACAACAAAGCAGCCTCTGAGCAGAACGTGGCAGGTGAGGAAAACAAGACTTAGAGCTAGAAATCCAGCCAGAAGTCAAATGCTGGGCGAAAGGTTTCTTCCCAAACAAGAACAAGATCCTCCAGTGGAAGCCTGGAGTTGTCTGATTAAGCCTGTGCTATCTGGAGAGAAGACTTAATGAGGAACCCAAGAGCAACTCATAATTAGCACTTGGGTAGTTGTTTACAAAGTACTTCAAGGAGCTTGAAAGCAGTTCTTTTAAGCCTCAAGTGTTTGGGCGGGCTACTAGTGCGTGCTGTAAAGAGCAGGCGAAGAACATCGGTGTGCGTTGTAAAAAGCAAATGGATACACTGGTCCAAGCCAATTATGACGAACTTGAAAAACACCGCCGTCCAAACCAGCAGCCTTTATTGATGTGTTTGCCCATGCTACTAATTTAGAATGCAAAGTCCAATGGAAAAACAGAAACCTATTACTTTTCATGACATTTCACCAGTTAGTAATTAAGGACTTCAGCATTCTTCATTCTTACACATGAAGTGTGTGTGTCTGCCTGCGTGTGTGTGTGTGTGTGTGTGTGTGTGTGTGTGTGTGTGTGCTGCATTTGAAGGCAATAAGAAAGCTTTAGAATAGATTACAAAGAGTGGCAGACTTCCCTAGCCAATTATCTTCTCTGTTCAAAAGCATTCCAGCATGATAGAGTCAGATATGAGCAGGTGACCCACCCCCACCAGGTGGCCAGTATTCCAACACGGAGGTGAGGGGTGGGGATGGGGTCAGCCATGAGCAGGTGTCCCTGCTGTCTACTGCCACGCACTCTAGCTGAGGAATCCCCATTCTTAACGCGGGAACAAATCAGGACCAGTTTGAAATCTACAGGCACAAAAGATGCCTATATTGAAGACCGGCAAGGAAAAGCTTGATTTCAGTGAGAACGGAAGGAAAATGGAGCTGCAATCTGTGAGGTAAAACTTTCCCTTCTGTTACCTCCGAACTAATTTGTGGAGAGAAGGCTAAAACAAATGTCCCCACGGAAAGAAACACAAACGACTTCTAAAATATCAATAAACGCCGCCTAGACCGCTGGAGCTTAGTGATGTCTAAGATCTCTCAAACATTCTAAATGAGAATCAACCATGAGGTAGAAATTAGACACCACAGACTGGAAACGCGTAGAACTCTACCAAAACTGAGTGATGAAATATATACTAAACAGAGGATTTCCAAACCTACACGACGCCGTCACTCCCAACCCAAGAATGATTATGCTAATAAATGCTGAAATTTGTAAAATCACTGTTGAGCGCTTCTTCCTATGCAAGGCCTTTGAGGATGCTCTTGAGTTACCTTAACTGCTAAGAGCGATTTTGAATGAGGCTCAGTATATGTCTACCACCTATATATGTGAAGCCTGCATCAAGAAAAAGAGTTTTTCCTGTATTGAACAGCAAATGAATAACAGTTTCAGAAATCAAATATCTTTAGCTGAATACTATAAATACCAATGATCATTTGACGTTTGACTTTCCTATTTTAAGACAGGTTCTCCCTATGCATCCCTGTAGATCAGTCTATCCCTGACCTCACAGGGTTTCTCTTAGAAGGAAAAGTGTGCATCACCACACCTGGCCCAGTTTTTAGCTATTCATATGATTTTTTATGTCTGTGGCATTTTATGAATGCAAAATCGGGTAGCCATAACCTCAAGGTCACACAAGACTAGTGAATAGGGAAACCAGAGTGGAATTAAATCAGCTTGGTAGTTAACTCTGTATTTTTTTTTTCCTTTCAGCTTCTTTTGTTTATTTAAACAAGGTGTATGAAGCCCAGCCTGGTCTTACACAGCTTTCTAAGTGTTGGGATCCCAAATGTGTGCCCCCCCAAGAACCTTTTCAGTTCATGCCCATTCCAGTTAAGACGGGCATTTTAACCACTATATTCCCACCTACGGTCCTCTACCAGCTTCTCCATGCTGTCTGGTACCAAACAGCACGATAATGTTCTCGCATAGAAAGTGTTCTTTTAGGATGAGACTGCACAGTCCACAAACAAGAGCCACCCAGAGAAGTTCCTCCTCACTATCCACAATTCTGGTCATCATTACGGCTTTGGGGAATTAGGGTTCCTAACCTCATCAGCACTCACATTAACTACACATATATTTTCTCCTTATACACAGCGATTTGCCTTACAGAAACATGGAAACATATTTGGGGCACCCGTCTGATGCTTGAGTTCCTTGTGTGGTATTCGGTTTGGATGTTTGAAACCTCTCATGGTGGCTCATTCCATTTGGGGGCAGCTCTAAATGTGAGAAATGTCTTCCTCACATTGCGATTCAAACTGACCCTGGTCACTTTTTTCTTTCCTTAGCTATAGCTTTTAAATACCGTGTGGTTCTTCTCATTCTGAGCACTTAACAAAAATGATGGATTGCCTTTCTCCGGGGGAAAAAAATGTAGGCAAAGCACAGATGTTTTATAAATGACTCCTAGGGAACTGTAGTACCAGAAGCCTGTGGATTGTCTGTGAACCTTACATATAGAAATATTTCTAATAGTGGCCCTTTATGAGCCAGAAGGAAGGTATCTTTCTTTTCTGCATCTTGTCCAACTGTGCAGACTTCTGAGTTCTCCCGCTGGGCTGAGGATCTGGCCGTTCATTTTAGCCCCTGGAGACTTCTGATACCCAGGTTGATGATCTTATCCTTTAAGTTGGCTTAGGCCAGTCAGTTTGTTTACTATGGCCTCCAGCAAAGATGGGAGGACCAGGAAACAGATGGAAACAACAGTGGGCAAGTGATCATCAGAATACGGGGACTCTACGCAGCCGCCACTTTTCTTCCCACATTTCTGATGGTCTCCTGAAATGAAGCACAGGAAGACACAAGGAACCGTGTAAGGATCAGAATTTATCACGTGCCGTTAATTTTACCCAGCAAAAGAGAACTGCTTTTGCTTTCTTCTGCAAGGGGTTAGTTCAGGTATTAACTCAGGGAATGTGAAAACACGTGACAGTCGCGTGCTAGAGGAACTAAGTAGTCATTGCGAAATTTCCTTTGAGAGTTTAGTGTATGACCTTAGGCAGCCCATATGCCGGTTCAAACTTACAGACCCCCCACCGTTCTAGCCCTCTTAAACAAACAACTCTTACCCAATAGCTGCCTCTTTGCTTGAAGAATTCTTAAAACTGCTAACTGAAGCATTGGGCTTAGCATCAGCATTTCGTTGCTCAATTAAATGGCTCTCTGGTCAACTTTGCTGTGCCTTGTGAGTCTCTTACTGCTGGCGGGACAGTTCTGTAACAACTTCCCACTCACCTTGTCCCTCTGTTTGGGGGACTTTACGAATTAGGTTAGATCCCTTCTAGTGTTTTCCATTTTATTATAAGGGTTTTAATTTAAGAGCCAACATTGTCCATTAGGAAGAAAGGAAAAAGATTTGTCAAAGGATTCTGGTATTAGCTAGCCAAGTGACTAGGAGTAACCCAGCTACCCTCCAGTGAAGTTGATCATAGAAAACAATCACCCAGTTCAGCACCTCCTAAAATGGTTTACACTAGAAACACTAAGGGGATTTTCAAAACCGCTGTCACACAGATCTTTGACTCCAATATTCTGATTTTTGAATGAAGAATGAATGGGACGGGGGATGTTGCCCTCTAGAAGGACAGCAGCTTCTTTAGATGCCAACAGCTGTTCCAACCCACAGTCCGCAAGTTCGTCGGCACCCAAAAACCACCTGTTGAGTTTTTGAATTCACCAGGGCCTCTGCCCCCTACAGACTCAGGCTTAAAAGTCCTGGGAGACCCAGGCTTTAAAGGTTCTAGCACTCTCCAGCCAGTTATGATGAGCAGTCAGGGCTGATGCCCACATTCTGACGCTACCTTTCTGGTTCTATCTGGCTGATCAGCTGACCCTCTCAGCCAACATTGGCCACCTAGTAAATAACAAACCCTGGGAGCTTGCTACAAGGTAGAGATCAGCCTCCATTAGATCAACCTGACGCCAACTTCCTATTTTCCACCTATGGTCACAACCCTCTGATCTTGCCAATTACCAGTGTTTTCTGTTGTGTATCCTTTCCTGCCGTGTTGTAGCCTCATTTTCTTTCATTTCCTATCTACTACATCCATCCACTCTTCCTAACAGCATGCCTTTGCTGACTGCTCCAATTTTTTTCTGCGTCCTGGGTTATCTGAGTCAAAGCTCCTCTGTGCTATTAAGAAAAATTTAGAAGTGCTTTCAAGCTGGAAGAAGGCTACGATTGGCCCTGGACAACTAAATGACAGATGAGGGTAATGAGAAAATTGAACTGCACAGCGAGAGGACCTGTAAGACTGTGATCCTTTCTTCTGCAAAAGATCAGCTACAACCGGGACCACAGGAAAATGGCGATTATAATCAGATTGTCTCAGATACGGGTTATGAAGTACTAAAGAAGTTGTTCAAAGAAAACGAACTGTAATATTTTGTAGTAATTGCAAAAACAAAATTCTAACGAGCTTCAGAAGATAAAAATACATAGAGTCATTGAAGGTTTAGATAACTTTGACTATTGACTGAGATAAATTTCTCCTATCGTACAATGCACAGTCTCCTATTGTACAATCTATGGGGAGAACGTTCCAACCTCGTATTGTTCTACATATAGTAATATTCAGTTATTCTGAGTACATCGCAAACATTGGGCAGCATTGTGGGGGCAGGTAGCGCCTTCTTCCCTCTGCTTCCACGAGAGGCTCTCTGAACTGGGAAAGTGGCAAGACCTTTGCCCTAATGTGACAGAGACTCAGATTTATCATGAGGCTAATAAAGTTTTTGGCTTTAACCTCCTTTCTTGCAAGGATTCTTTACAAAACCTGGGGAGGATCCCCACTAGCAGAGTCCACATGAGTTTTTATCAAAATGTATTCTTAGCAAAAGTAATTATGGTGGTTTGTTGTGACTTCATTTTTTATTCTAAATATTTAGCCTGGATATGTTATGTATTGATAATTCTGTATTTTGGAGAATAGATCCACCCATTGCCCCTTTTAAGGCATGGGGTCCTTCTTCTCCTGTGAACTGAGGAAATGTGTTTCTGGGACAGAGAAGCCGAAGCCAAGCTTTCGAGATGGGTTTCTCTGTGTAACTCACTCTGGTTGTCCTGGAACTCACTTTGCACGCCAGGCTGACCTTGAACTCACAGAGATCCACCTGCCTCTGCCTCCTGAGTGCTGGGATTAAAGGTGTAAGACGTGAACCACCACCGCCCAATGAAACTGTTTTCAGAAGATGAATTCAGTCAGCATCTTCCAGACACCTCAGGACTGGCACACACATAAACTCATGGAGCGTGTGGCGTCGTCACACAGGCTCAAGCTGCCGGGGTCCCCGGGCTGAGAGGGGGACATGGACATAAGCTCCCATCCCTATACCTGCCATTGATTACAGAGGAAAACAGTCTTCTCCAACAGAGTCTCCCTGGGTTGCAAAACACCCTTCAAGGGTAGCCCTGTGCCCAGCAGCAGAAAGCCGACACAAAATGAACACAATGGTATTTTTGTATAATTTTTGTCTCGTTGATTTGTTCAGGTGCTTTTTTTTTTCTTTTTGTCCCATTGGGCTTTGGCTTGTATTTTGTGATTTTCAGTTTTGTGTTTTTATGGGTTTTCATTTTGTGTGTGTTTCCTGTTTTTTTCTTTTCTTTTTATTCTGGTTGGTTTGTTGTCTAAAGAAAGAAAGGCCATGGGGGGAGGTGAGGAGGATCTGGGAGGAGATGGGGAAGGGGGTAACTATCATCGAAATACATCAATAAATTATTTCAACAAAAATATTACAAAGAAAGCTAACAAGAAAAATGAGCTTAGTCATAATCGCACATATTTATGGCATACAATGTAACCTATGGAAAATGCAGTTTGGAACAATCCGCTCAGCGTACCTTGTGGAGACGAGAGTATTGTGCAAATGTTCCTTGCCCAGCCGTGTTTGCTCCTCCTCGTCCACCTCAGAGAGGTGGACAATCTCAACTTCCACGTAGGAATGTTAACCTTTACCCCGTGGATGACCCCTAATCCCCTCGCCTGTCTCCTCCATATTTAAGGCGTCATTTTAGTCTTTCCCCTCCCCCTTCTCCCGTCCCCGGGAGCTCTCCAGCTGTCCTTGGGCTCACTCGGCCCTTTCCGCTCTAATAAGTAGCTTCTCTCTTGTAAATTCCCACGTCTTTCACCAAAAGAGAAAACACAGCAAACATTGAGTGTGTCTTTTCCCCGGAGTTGCTCCAGCACACAAGCCTCCCCAGTGAAGGAAGGGATTTGTGGCAACCGAGCCTGAGCCAGCCTTGAGAAGTCTGCTTTCCCAAGCAGCCGAAATGCCACCATACAAAGAAAAACGGCAGCGTCAGCTTTTCCTTCCACGAAGCGCAGTCTTATGGCCCTGGAATTCCGGCTCTAGCTGCACCAGGAGCAGGAGGGCTGCTACAGGACCCGGGTGGGAAGTACTTCCAGAGGTTGAAGACAGAGTCCAGTGTGAAGACATCTTATGCCCCGTCAGCACAGGCAAGGGGAAATCTGCATCCTACAAAGATTGTAATAATTCAAGTGGGAGTTTGAAGTCTACTTAGGTTTTTAATGTTTATCTTCCAAGAGGATATAATTAGTGTGTTATCTCAGTCCTGGAGTTATGTTGGTTTTCATAGTTTTTCTTGGATTAATGCTAAATGGTGACTCTGGGGAAATATTTAAAACATTCGAAAATGCTGCGACCTTTTAACATTTCCCCCCAGGAAATACAGAAATAAAAATCTTCTAACGGTTTCAGTCATTTAAGTAAACATTTGAACAAAGAACTCTTAAACGGGAGTTTGCTGGGCAAGCAAGATCAGTCGTGTGACTGCGTGGAAACGCACAGTCTGCCAAGAAAGACGACACCCGGAGTCTCAACTTTGCCTTATATTTTAGTCTAAGAATTTGGAGTAGCTTGATACTGCGTATTTTGCTCAGCTTACAAAAACCCACAATGTTTCTGTAAACCTAGGAGAGTCAAATTCTGCTCACTGTTATTAATATAAAGAAATATCAATACTACGCTAAAGTTCCTTATTTCCTCTTATTCAGTAATAGACTGATTTCCTATGTGAAAAAATTTAATTACTATAATAAATTATTTTGAGCAAATTCATACACCTAGATCTTTCTACATGTCATTTACTATCTTCCCAGTATTGATCTTATTATTGTGCTAAGGTTTAAAAGTTAGCATATCCATAATAATCAAGGCCTGTGAATTGTGATAGACAGAATACACATTCTTTGATTCCCTTCTAGCTATTATTACAAGCCCGACCACTTCCTTTTAGCCCTGCAAGATGCACGCTCTCTGATATATGCTGAGTCATGGTGATAAGAGATACTTATGCGAACTCATGCATCGGGTTGCCCAACAACGGGAGTTCAGCTGTGTTGAGCGCAACAATGACCTGTGTGGAATGCGGTCAGCCCAGCACCAAGATTGGCTATCTTACACGGCAAGCTGAGTTTTCCAGGCCTACAGTCTTTAACACAAGGAAACAATTGCTTTTACAAAAATACTGGCCAGATTCCTTGCCTTATGAGAGGAGAGCCTGCAGCAAAACAAAGGCCTACAGGAGGAGACAGCCGAGATAGGAGACCTCAGGCAACCAAAAGGAGAACCTTTGCTTGGATCAGTCTTAGTTCTTCACAATAGGAATGGATCCGTGTTCAGAGAGGCATCCGCAACAAAACGCAGACAGACTGAAGAGGCTCAAGCATCCTGGGACACACAGTCGGGCAGTCCTGCCTCCTTCATACCAGGCTGCCACAGCAATCACCTTCAAGTTTCTGAGACAAGCCCAGTAGACCAGCTCTAAATTAGTTAATGCTTGTACCAAGGATTAAAACCAGCTTTAGGCTGGGCAAGGAAGCACATGCCATTGATCTCAGCACTCAGCAGGCAGAGACAGGAGGATCTCTGTGAGTTCAAGGCCAGCCTGGTCTACACATCAAGCTACAGGACGGACAGCTACATCAAGAGACCCTGCCTCAAAAATAAATGATAGATAGATAGGTAGATAGACAGACAGACAGACAGACAGATGATAGATAGATAGATAGATAGATAGATAGATAGATAGATAGATGATCAATAGATAGATAGATAGATGACAGATGAAACAATCTTATAATCTTATCTCTTTTCCAGAAATGTTTCTTGCTGTCCTTTTACTTTTATTACTTCTATGCTAAACGAATGGTGGAAAGAAAAATAAATAATCTAGGATATTTAACTCATCAAAATAATAATATAGTTGACTCTCAATTATGTTTAAAAATTAATATCTGGTCGGGCGGTGGTGGCGCATGCTTTTAATCCCAGCACTCAGGAGGCAGAGACAGGTGGATCTCTGTGAGTTTGAGACCAGTCTGGTCTACAGAGAGAATTCTAGGATAGGCTCCAAAGCTACAGAGAAACCCTATCTTGAAATACATACACACACACACACATTCACTCACTCACGGTGAGGAAGCAGCCTTAGGCAGTCACTCCCAGTCACTTATAATAATGTAAAAAAAATAATGTAAAAAAAGTTCCTTGGGACTGAAGAGGTGGCCCAGCAGAGTTATGAGCATTGACTGCTCTTCCAGTAGACCTGGGTTCAAGTTCCAGGACTCAACTGACAGCTCACAGTAGTCTGTAACTCCAGTTCCAGGGCATTCGACAGCAATTTCTAATCTTCTAATCTCTCAGGGCGTGATGAATAGATGTAGTGTACAGACACACAGGCAGGCAAAACATCCATACACATAAAATAAAGAAAAAAGGAAGGAAGAAGGAGAGAGAGAGAAAGGAAGGAAGGGAAAAGGAAAGAGAGAGAGAGAGAGAAAGAAAGAAAGAAAGAAAGAAAGAAAGAAAGAAAGAAAGAAAGAAAGA